TTTTACGACGCGACACCCACGTGTAGAACTGGGGTGATGCTATACTAAGCAGCACACGGCGAAATAGAATTGATACAACAACTAATTTGTTAAACATTTCCAGATTTATTGGATGGCGTGCACAGGTGTAAGAAAGATGACAACCCTTGCCTCACGACTATTGTCCAAAATTTCCTTCGAGCGCTCATCGAGAATTCCTTTGAACCATTCCAAGTGGACCACATCGAGCATACCTACGATTCTGGAGAGAAAGTTGCATTCAGCAATATGAATATCAGCGGTTTGAAAAATGTAGTGCTCAGTAATTTAAAGTAAGTAAATCATCATCTTCCTACCCTTATCCCTAATGCTTGGGGTCGGCGCACGCAACACGTTTTGTTGAACACAAAATCGTGTTGCAAAGGATTTGGCTCAATTTTATGACTGGCCGCCTACCAGACGTCAACCCTCCTTGAGAATGCTTTTGTGGTGGATTAACCGCCACCACACGGTTGGCCCTGGCTGTTTGTGTCGGGTTTATTCCTCGGTCGCCTCTTACGACCCCCACGGGAAGAGAGGGGGAGGTGCTATTCTACTCTGCCGGCACCACACGGCCTAATTAATAATAAATAATTTAAAGTAAGTAAATATAAGGTGTAAATAATAAACTGCAAATATTGTGAACAATATTGAGAAACAGTCCATAAAACTGAACAAATTTCATTTCAGACCTTGAGATACATAAGTCGAAATATGAAAAAGTTTGGGCCTCCTAGAAAAAATGTGTTGATCAGGCGTGTAATTTGTACGGAAGGGCCATTTTTTTCAGTTTCATGAACCGTTTCACCCCTTAAAATATTTGCAGTTGATTTTTTTAACATTCTGTACGAGTACCTAGGTACTGTAAAATTGCATCTTGGTTTTTTTATTTTGAGGTAACATTGCTTCCTATTTATATGTTGTGCTATTTTTATACATAATGGAACTCCTCGTGCGCAAGTCCGACTCATACTTGGCCCATTTTTGACCCTCATTTTGTGATATAAGAGGACTCTACTTAGTATAAATAAAAAATCAAATAAATAAAATTATACATACCATACCTACATACCTATGTAAGTTTTGTGAGTTTAACACAATGTAAACGATCATTCAAGAACATAGCTCTACTAGAATAAGAAAGTACTGTTTTCGTTTCGAATCGGCAACAATATTTTCAAACCTTTCTAATTACTGGTGCCTTATTTTCACAGATTTGACACGATTACGAAGGATACTGGTTTAACCCTGGACAGTGAACCAGAGATAGTCACCGATATCCAGTCTAATGAGCAGACCAGTAAAATATCAATGAAAGGAAGTAAGTGTGCATTTTACTAAAACCTTTAGAGGCTCTGGGCAGCCCTGAGAAGCCATGAGAATGCTTCATTACCTGTATCATGAGGTGTATAAGCGAAAAGTATCTAGGAACATGTCTAGGATAATGTATGTCGTATGTCTTAGTCCGTAGTAATGGCAGATTATCAACCATACTAAGTTTAAATTTAACGTTCACAGAAATCCGAATTGTTGCCGAATACAAGTATAGTAATGTGCCCAACGCGAAAGGAGAAAAGTACTTCATGATTGGACCTAACACTCTGAGATGTGAACCTCTGGGAGACCCAGAAGTGTCAGCGATAAGCGGAGCTGGCGGCGAAGTGTGGGAAGGTTGGTACTTGCTAGTTCTTAATTAGTACCTGCTTGCTAGTATAGTCACTTTTTAACGACAAAAAACCACCTACGGTCGGGAATATGCTCCCAAGACCTTCGTTTCGTGAAGCAGGAAGACGCTTTGCCAGGTCGCCCGGTGGCGACCAGCGACGACGTTTACCAATGCCATATTTACAGATAGAGTTCATTTTCAAGCGACTAAGGGATTTGGGAGTTGGTGTTCGTTTTCACGGGCTACATCCCAGTTGGGCTGATCTTAACATGTGAGAAGATGTTAGATTTATCTAAGCAGCAGCATGTGTGACATTGGCTATATTAAAAATTCATAAATTCAGGATGGTGGATTTTATCGCAAAATACAACTTTGAAATTATCGCAATCGGATTGTTGCTTATTACTACATCTGCTGTTGTTTGTGTTTACAGCTGTTTACGCTCTGCCTACCCCGAAAGGGATATATACATATATTTAATATACACAAAGTGTAACCGAGATGATTAGATAAAGATTTGTGGAGCTATGTATCCCATAGACAGATATTACATACATTCAAAATTTAATTTATTTTTTCCTTACAGGAAAATCTGACGAAATGAAGATCTTGCAATGTGAGGTCAGTAAAGTCGTGTTCCAAAAGATTATCAACAGCTTGAGGGAGAATGTCAAGCAATTTCCATCAGCCACTTACTTCTCGGATCTCGATTAGATTGAGGATAAAAAAATGTTTCCATATTCCATAACCTACAGAAATCAATAAAGTACCTGTTTTACATAACCTAAATTGTGATTTTATTTAAACAATACGCGTACAACAAAATTGCAAGAGGTACAAAATTACTGCTGCCCGTCAGCGGTCTGTTTCCCGTGGGGAGAAGACGTTTTCCCGGCATGTGTTATACGATGATATATGGAAACCTTGTATCTACAATGGAATACCTATGTAGATAGGAGGTTTTCATATATCATCGTCGATAGGTATCTTAAAAATACGCACCAATTTCAATTGAATGGAGGGAGGTGAAAAGTTAGGTTGGACTTACGAGCAACGTACATCGAAGAGGGGCGAAAACCAGTTTTGTTCCGGTAGCGCTCAATAACGAACCTTTACCAGTCTGCTCCGATTTCCTGTACCTCGGTTCTCTCGTTCAAGGTGATGGCGAAATAGACCGAGCAATCGAGCACAGGATAAATGCGGGATGGATGAAATGGCGACAGGTTACGGGCACAGTGTGTGACCGCCGAATGCCCCTCAAATTGAAGGGCAAGATATATAAGACGGTGGTGAGACCTGTTGTCATGTATGGATCAGAGTGTTGGGCAACTAAGGTGACGGATAAAAAACGAATGCATGTAGCTGAGATGAGAATGTTGCGATGGATGTGTGGTGTGACAAGGATGGATAAAATAAGGAATGTGAAAAAAGTGACAGAAAAAATGAGAGGGAACCGTTTATCTTGGTATGGGCATGTAATGAAGAGGGATGAAGAGCATGTAACAAAGAAAGTAATGAATGGACGCAGAAGAAGAGGGAGGCCTAAAAAAGTTTAGGTGGATTGTATAAAAGACGATATGAAAAATAAAGGCGTGAGTGAGGATTTGACTGCTGATAGAGATGAATGGAAGAAAAAGACATGTTGCGCCGACCCCAAATAAATTAGGATAAGGGCAGGCAGATGATGATGACTTATACATCAAATGCAATATAGTTTATAAACTCCTTGTCAACACTATTTTCTGATACTAGATTTGAATTAATAGACCTAAGCGTTCAGCAGAATTGAGGTGAGAAGAGAACAGTTGCTATAGTTATAATCCTCACCAACATGCCTCTATATCTAATTTTATGAGCAGAACGCACCCTTAAAATATTGTATACTTATTTATTTAAATGTAACCCTATACATCTAAACTACTCGATGGTACTACGCCGTACGACTGTAGTAGGTATTATGGGATAATACTCGTAATAATAAATATTTATTTAGTTGCCATTAAACAAGGTACATAAGTATTATGGTCAAGATGAATATAGATGTAATGTAAATTCCATTCCATTGTTTAGCCATAATAGAATGCAAATGTCGACATAAAGAAATTAATTAAGATTAACAACGCCATCGAATAAAATTAATTTATGGATAATTATTATAAAGATGAATGATTTGTTTGTCTTTTCTGTGTATGATAAACCTAATAATCGACAAACTTTGCAACTACTACACCAACTACTACGCTAACTTTTTTTACAAAGCAACAACCAGAAAGCTACAACATACAAGGAAATGAAAAAGATATGAAATCTCAAATAGAGCCAAGCTTCCGCTGGCCGCTTTTGTTAACATCATTCTTATAACACATAAACATTCAGGGTCTCAAATACCTGATGTAGACCACCAGGAGCCCTACTAACCTATCTTTTTCTATCGTGTGGGACACCGAGTCGACGAACCCGATGACCACGGGAATGCCCCCATAGCAAAAGTCAATCAACATGCTGATCCACTTTTGCTGGCACTTATATAACAAGGCTTTTGAGATCTTGGTGTGAAACGGACAAAGTTTTTTTTTTTGCGTTGGTAGGGGGAAATCATCAATGATACCATAAGGCCCGGGCGTTTATGGTATGCCCGACTCCGCTGGGTTACCCCCAGGCGACCTACGGACTAAAACCCCCTCCCTGTGACTTATCGTTGGTATGCAATCCAACGTTTTAGACTGTAAATGTTATTAGTTAATACTGTGACTTAAATTGTAACGTATGAGTGTGTTAGTAAAGTTAGTAAGTTTTTTTTTTTTTTTTTTTTTTAAGGACAAAGATTCTATTCTCACGGGAAAACGGTGAAAGCGGGTGAAACCGTTGGGCAGCTACCTGTAGATAAAATGCCCTCTTAACGTTAGGCTTAGGTACGCCAGCGATAACTTGACGACAATACAACTTTTTCTCTGTGACCTTTGGTATTTAACTAGTAGCTGCCGATCAGCTCTGCACAGTGCTGAGTTCCCTACTGCATCAACATGGGCGTAAAAAGGAAGTTGCTTGTTGTGCTTTTGATCCACACTGCAATCGCTTCGAGTAAGAATTTTGAAGCTTCATCTATTTATGAGTTTTGATTCAAACACTTGTACTCGATTCACTTAGATTTTATTTTCGTCCCAACCGGTTTTACTTAAATAAGCATCTTCGGGGGGCAAATACACTTATATAATTATTGCACGTTCATTAAATGTCATCCATCATTATCGAATACCAAATTTTAAAACACTTCTCGTGTTAGGTAAACATTTTTTGGAAAACTTGCTAAATTTTTCACTGCAGGCAGGATTTGAACCTGCGACCTCCAGCATCAGTACTGCCGACGCCCTAACCAACTGGGCTGCCGCGGTTTTAATCGAGCCCGCGAATTAAGCAAGTATATCTTGTCCACTACCGCGTGGATGGGCTCCATCTACCGGGATAGTTTATCATTATCATCATATAGAAAAGTCATCATTATCATCATATCAGCCATAGGACGTCCACTGCTGAACATAGGCTTCCCCTAAATATTTCCTTCTTGTCCTGTAGCACTTTGCTGAGGTCTTCAAATGACTGCCATGACTACGATATCGTCGGCAAACCGGAGTTGAGTGATGTATTCGCCATTGATATTGAGGCAATTTTCTTCCCTTTCCAGGAGCTTGAAGGCATCTTCCATCACATTGGTGAAGAGCTTTGGAGATAATACATCTCCTTGTTTTACACCCCTCTGCAATGGAATTGCCGACGTGGTCTGTTTCTTGTATTCGAACTGACATTGTGGCGTTTTTATATCTACAAGTGAAACGAGTACAAGTGTTTGAATAAAAAATAATAACAATGGAGTTTTACAAAGCGCCGACAAAGGAGATGAGAACAAAGCCGAAATATTGCTTCGAAATACACATTGCATTGGAGAGTAGAAGATCTTCACTGCCTTAATTAGGCATAATAGAAATAATATTTGATGAACACAAGTATATATTGGTACAAAAACTAATTGTTAATCTTTTCTAGATTTATTGGATGGTATACAAAGGTGTAAGACAGTTGACGTCCCCTGCCTCACGAATATGGTCCAAACTTTCCTCCGAGCGCTCATAAGATATTCCTTTGACCCATACCACGTGGACCACATCGACCATACCAACAATTCTGGACAGAAAGTTGCTCTCAGCGATGTGAATATAAGTGGTTTTAGAAATGTAGTGCTCGCTATTTTCATGTAAGTCAAGTCAAAGTTAATCATTTATTTCTTAGTAGAAATTCACATTCTAATTCAATCTTAAAAAATTATAAGTAAAAAACATTTTAAAACAAGCTTTTATTTGGGTGCGCTAAAAAGTATAAAATAATCTATTTACTAAAACTTTAACTTGAAACTTTTAAGGTGGATCGTTACGTCATACAAACGAAAAACTGCACTTCAGCCGTGTTATACATGAGCTGCAGAGCAAATTTTTGAAAAAACTTCATGTGAAATGATAAAGGCACACGTAAATTTGTCGCAAAACTACTTATGGTTAAAAGATAATAAGTATTTTCTGCACAATAAAATTAAACGTATTTATTGCAGCAGTAGCTCCATCTATTTTTGTAAAGTTGCGACTCGGTTTTTACGGGGAAGTCTGGTGGTTTAAAAATTCTTTTTAGGGTTTTGCGAAAATGTTATTTACCCACGGGATTTAATCTCGCGACAAGTCGCAATATCGTATAAATTGTGAAGACGTAGATTTAATGCCATTATAAGTAACAAGTTAAAGTTTTAGTAAATACTTAGATTATTTTATGCTTTTTAGCGCATCCAAATAAAAGCTTGTTTTAAAAATGTTTTTTACTTATAATTTATTTAACTTGAAGTTAGGTGCTTGATTTTCACAACTACTAGCGTTCATAAACTTGAGTATACGGTTGTAATTTTAACTCGATATCTTTACGCGTTCCTGAGATAAAGGGTCTTGACAGAATGACAGACAGACGGACGGGCGGACAACAAAGTGATCCTATAAGGGTTCCGTTTTTTGCCTTTTGAGGTACGAAACCCTAACAAGAGAAAATTTTGCATCAGAAATTTTCTCTTTTTTAAAAGCTTTTATTTAACTTGCAGTGTATGTATGTATGTAAGTAAAAATGTTTGTTCGGGTCAAATCTTGCAACTCAATTTTGAAGCAGATATCCTCAACCGATTGAGCTGAAATTTTGTAAACACGTTTAATTCAGATGACAATGCATGTTAGATTGTGTGTGGTTATTCTAAATCCAAAATGGCGGAATATCCAAGATGGCCGATAAGTAATTTTTGACGCACTCCTACAATATGGGTGTCAAATGAAAGGGCTTGCTGAGTACAATTCAGACAATAATATGGCAGACATCTAAAGATGGCCACCTATGATAATTTACAATATGAGTGTCAAATGAAAGGGCTTGCTGAGAATTACCTATTCGAATTACAAGTTGACGTCATTCTTATTTAACTATGGTGGACTTCTTAAGATGGCAGAATAACATTTTTATGCTTTTTTACAATATGGATGTCAAATGAAAGGAATTTTTCAGAATAACTCGAAAAATAAAGTGACGTTTACGTCACTCATAACAAAACCAGATATGACGGACTAAAGGCTAGATGACGTATTAAGTTTGCTATGTTTTCTTACTAAATTGGTGAAAAACATAGACAAATGAAAGATAAATATCTAATATGAGGTAAATGACGTCGCTTTGCACAGATTGGGGTTTTTAGTCTTCTGTTCATGGCACTGTCAATGAAGAAGCTAAATAAAGTTTAGCGATTGCCCCGCTTGGGTACAAGAAGCTTATCGTAGAGGACGAAACTCATACCGAGTTGTCGTAAGACACTCATGAGACCGATGCCTCGCAGATTCGCACCAGTAGTCCGTATGGACGGCGACGCAGTTTCAAAGTCAATGAAGAATGTTGTAATTTTTTTTGCCGAGATTACTAAAAAGCAAAAAATAAATTATAAGTAAAAAACATTTTAAAACAAGCTTTTATTTGGGTGCGCTAAAAAGTATAAAATAATCTATTTACTAAAACTTTAACTTGAAACTTTTAATAGCATTAAATCTACCTACGTCTTCACAATTTATACGATATAAAAGCTTGTCGCGAGATTTAAGTAGGTACTCGTGTGATAAATTGTGAAGACGTAGATTTAATGCTATTAAGGCGTTCCGTTTCCATACAAAAGTTTAATGGAGTTATGTCTGTAAAGGAGACACAAGTCTGAATAAAAAACTTGATAGGGAGTCCCGTGGGTAAATAACATTTTCGCAAAACCCTAAAAAGAATTTTTAAACCACCAGACTTCCCCGTAAAAACCGAGTCGCAACTTTACAAAAATAGATGGAGCTACTGCTGCAATAAATACGTTTAATTTTATTGTGCAGAAAATACTTATTATCTTTTAACCATAAGTAGTTTTGCGACAAATTTACGTGTGCCTTTATCATTTCACATGAAGTTTTTTCAAAAATTTGCTCTGCAGCTCATGTATAACACGGCTGAAGTGCAGTTTTTCGTTTGTATGACGTAACGATCCACCTTAAAAGTTTCAAGTTAAAGTTTTAGTAAATAGATTATTTTATACTTTTTAGCGCACCCAAATAAAAGCTTGTTTTAAAATGTTTTTTACTTATAATTTATTTTTTGCTTTTTAGTAATCTCGGCAAAAAAAATTACAACATTCTTCATTGACTTTGAAACTGCGTCGCCGTCCATACGGACTACTGGTGCGAATCTGCGAGGCATCGGTCTCATGAGTGTCTTACGACAACTCGGTATGAGTTTCGTCCTCTACGATAAGCTTCTTGTACCCAAGCGGGGCAATCGCTAAACTTTATTTAGCTTCTTCATTGACAGTGCCATGAACAGAAGACTAAAAACCCCAATCTGTGCAAAGCGACGTCATTTACCTCATATTAGATATTTATCTTTCATTTGTCTATGTTTTTCACCAATTTAGTAAGAAAACATAGCAAACTTAATACGTCATCTAGCCTTTAGTCCGTCATATCTGGTTTTGTTATGAGTGACGTAAACGTCACTTTATTTTTCGAGTTATTCTGAAAAATTCCTTTCATTTGACATCCATATTGTAAAAAAGCATAAAAATGTTATTCTGCCATCTTAAGAAGTCCACCATAGTTAAATAAGAATGACGTCAACTTGTAATTCGAATAGGTAATTCTCAGCAAGCCCTTTCATTTGACACTCATATTGTAAATTATCATAGGTGGCCATCTTTAGATGTCTGCCATATTATTGTCTGAATTGTACTCAGCAAGCCCTTTCATTTGACACCCATATTGTAGGAGTGCGTCAAAATTACTTATCGGCCATCTTGGATATTCCGCCATTTTGGATTTAGAATAACCACACACAATCTAACATGCATTGTCATCTGAATTAAACGTGTTTACAAAATTTCAGCTCAATCGGTTGAGGATATCTGCTTCAAAATTGAGTTGCAAGATTTGACCCGAACAAACATTTTTACTTACATACATACATACACTGCAAGTTAAATAAAAGCTTTTAAAAAAGAGAAAATTTCTGATGCAAAATTTTCTCTTGTTAGGGTTTCGTACCTCAAAAGGCAAAAAACGGAACCCTTATAGGATCACTTTGTTGTCCGCCCGTCCGTCTGTCTGTCATTCTGTCAAGACCCTTTATCTCAGGAACGCGTAAAGATATCGAGTTAAAATTACAACCGTATACTCAAGTTTATGAACGCTAGTAGTTGTGAAAATCAAGCACCTAACTTCAAGTTAAATAAATTATAAGTAAAAAACATTTTTAAAACAAGCTTTTATTTGGATGCGCTAAAAAGCATAAAATAATCTAAGTATTTACTAAAACTTTAACTTGTTACTTATAATGGCATTAAATCTACGTCTTCACAATTTATACGATATAAAAGCTTGTCGCGAGATTTAAGTAGGTACTCGTGTGTGGTGTTAGGTTAAAAGTTTGTTCAAGATTATTTACACTGGCTACCTAATTTATTTATTGATTTATACACAGGTAAAATCTCGCGACAAGCTTTTATATCGTATAAATTGTGAAGACGTAGATTTAATGCCATTATAAGTAACAAGTTAAAGTTTTAGTAAATACTTAGATTATTTTATGCTTTTTAGCGCATCCAAATAAAAGCTTGTTTTAAAAATGTTTTTTACTTATAATTTATTTTTTACTTTTTAGTAATCTCTAAAAAACAAATCTGTTATGCCATAGTTGATTATGTACGTTGTGCGATAGAACCTACCTACTTATTGCATTCATGAACATAATAGGTATAAATTGACAACATTCTTCATTGACAGTGCCATGAACAGAAGAC